GAGCAAGAGCAGGGAGTCGTAAAGTACCGGTATTTTACGACTCCCTGGCAAGAGTATTCTTGGTATTTCAGTCTGTCCATTCATCGGAAACAGTCCCGCTGGCTTTTGAAAGTCCGATTTGGGCCGAATTGAGGATCAAACCCCACTTTAAATCTCAAAAATCTGGGTTTGGGATCTGCTTCTCCGTACATTGCGCCATGGCATACATGTACCTGTCCTAATTAATTATTTTGGTAAAACCTGGCTGAATTTCTATTTCCCTGTTCGTGACTTTTCTGGCCTCAAACATGACAAGGAGTAATCGTTGGTCACACATGCACAATGGCGATGCAGGATGACGGATGTGACTGTTGTTTTCACGATATCTACAGTTCAACTACAAATATTACACAGCAATGAATCAAAAACGTCTCATTCCGCTGTAACTCCGAGTTTCGTGTCAGAACACTTCATCAGACAGCATATGACCAAGACTAACAATCGCTAGAATATATATATACGGAGAAGGGGAGAAGGGGGCAAAAGTGATGGAGGTACATTTCAGTAGCGCGAGGAAAAGGGATGACAAAATCAGCGTGATTATAAGAGGAAAAAGATGTTGAGAGTATAGAGCATAGCCAGGGTAGAGAAACAGCGCGACTTTCTGGTAACACATCAATACAGATTTGTGCTGCATTGTTACATATCAAATTGTGACCTAGGGTGGTAAAAATGTTGATGGGGATTGTGTTGTGGGAATCACTCACGCCAGGCAAGGGGGTGACTACCACACCCGCCAAGGCATCGGAAAACCGGCGACAGAAGCCAAGATCCGCCAAAAGCGCGTGAGCCATGAGCCCTGGTGAGTGCTCACCATTCCCGCGCCCCGCGGAACCCAGCCCCGACCGCCACCTCCCCGGCCCCGACGGGCAAAACAGCCACCCCCAGTCTGGCGTGGCTCATGTATTTTGTTGTTCATCACGTTACCCTGCTGAGTTGAAACTTGTTGGCGTGACGACATTTGGAGATTAACTCGCTCCTCTTATTCAGGCGGGTGCTCCTGTCGGCGGTAATGATGCGGAATTTCTCCGTCACGCATAGGTTACACCGTTTGCTTACGTTGCTGTATCCTTTAGCTTGCTCAGCAATCCTCCACTTGATGGTGACCGGTGCGTTCGTCTCTTTTAGCCGCCATACATGCTTGGACAGCTCCGTGTTGTTCCTCCTCGACTCGATGTTCATGTCCGATTTGTGGTTATAGTGTCGTTTCTTAAATGGTGGCTCAGTTGATCCAATGTACACCTTCTGTTCGTTTTCTTTCCCCACGTGCGCTTCATAAACGACCTCTTGCGCTTGGCATCGGCCGTCCAGCGGGCACTCCGGTTGAGCTCGGCAGTTGCATGGTTTTTCGATGCGTTTCGGCTCAAGAAGCATCTTGTTATGCCCGTTAATCACTGCGGCTACGTTGGGCATACAACTGTAGCTAACCTTGACGTTATTTTTGTTGAATATTTTTTGCAGCTTTGAATTCGCAGGGAAGTGCTTCTGCACCAATCGCAAGAATGTGGCCGCCACATTCGTGCTCACATTCTTGCTGAAAGGCGGGTTAAACCATATCACTTTCCTCCGACGGTTCTTTCTGTTCCTTCCTGTAGCACGTGTCGCCTTCTCCTGGTATTCAATCGTTGAAGCGAATCCACTAGATTTCAGTGCGTTCTGGTACAACGGCGCCGCCTCATCGAACGTCTGCTGATCAGCCGATATATCTGACACTCTCCGCTCAATCGCCTTAGGGAGGTTTCTCAGTATCATTGGGGGATGGTTCGACCTCGTGCTTAAATACAGTGGTGTGTTGTTCGGCTTTCGGAACGGCTTGTACTTTCCAGTGTCAAGATTCAGTGTGACATCTAGGAAGTCCACCACTCTCATGTTCACGTCGATCGTTATTTTCAAGCCATGTTGTTGGAATACAACGCTTCGGCCTCAAGACCAAAAACTGCCCCCCGAAGGTACCAGAGATGAAGGGATTTGAGGATGACGTCACGAAGATGATCGAGAACCTGAGATTCCGAAGAGTATCTGATGACTTCCAAGCCCAGCTGAAGACGGACATCCAGAAGATCAAGAAAACCGAGCACATCATCGTGAAGGCTGATAAGACACGGAATCTTTATCAAGTCAGCAAGGACCAGTATCATAAGCTCCTACACGACAATATCACAAGGACGTACAAGGCAGCCCCTGATGGCGTATATGATGAGATTAACTGTGAGGCCAAGGAGATCGCAACAGCGTTGGGAACTGGGGAGCGCATGGAGATACTGCCCAAGGCAAACGCATTCGTTACACTGAAGGACCATAAGCCGCGCTTTGCCAATGATCTGCCGTGCAGGTTAATAAATCCTGCCAAGCCGGAGATGGGCATCATTAGCAAGCAAGTTCTCGAAAGAATGACGCAGAAAGTTCGCGAGTTGACATCCATTAGCCTGTGGAAGAATACGGCGTCTGTTCTCGACTGGTTTGTAAAGATCAAGGAAAAGGAACGGATGACATTTGTGTGCTTTGATATAGTGGAGTTTTACCCAACAATCACTGAGGAGCTGTTGACCCGTGCCCTATCATTCGCGAAGCAGTACGCTAACATAGACCAGCGGGAGGAAGACGCTATCATGCACTCGAGAAGATCCCTGCTATTCAGCGGCGAGAGGCAGTGGGTAAAGAAGAAGAACAGTGCGTTTGATGTGACTATGGGGTCTTTCGATGGCGCCGAGGTGTGCGAGCTGGTCGGCGCCTTTCTCCTCTCTGAGCTGAGCCAGCACATAGACCAGAGCTCAGTTGGCCTTTATCGCGATGATGGATTGGCTGTCGTACGCGATATGTCAGGCAGTGCTGCTGATCGTCTCAGAAAGACCATAGCTACTGTATTCCAACAACATGGCTTGAAAATAACGATCGACGTGAACATGAGAGTGGTGGACTTCCTAGATGTCACACTGAATCTTGACACTGGAAAGTACAAGCCGTTCCGAAAGCCGAACAACACACCACTGTATTTAAGCACGAGGTCGAACCATCCCCCAATGATACTGAGAAACCTCCCTAAGGCGATTGAGCGGAGAGTGTCAGATATATCGGCTGATCAGCAGACGTTCGATGAGGCGGCGCCGTTGTACCAGAACGCACTGAAATCTAGTGGATTCGCTTCAACGATTGAATACCAGGAGAAGGCGACACGTGCTACAGGAAGGAACAGAAAGAACCGTCGGAGGAAAGTGATATGGTTTAACCCGCCTTTCAGCAAGAATGTGAGCACGAATGTGGCGGCCACATTCTTGCGATTGGTGCAGAAGCACTTCCCTGCGAATTCAAAGCTGCAAAAAATATTCAACAAAAATAACGTCAAGGTTAGCTACAGTTGTATGCCCAACGTAGCCGCAGTGATTAACGGGCATAACAAGATGCTTCTTGAGCCGAAACGCATCGAAAAACCATGCAACTGCCGAGCTCAACCGGAGTGCCCGCTGGACGGCCGATGCCAAGCGCAAGAGGTCGTTTATGAAGCGCACGTGGGGAAAGAAAACGAACAGAAGGTGTACATTGGATCAACTGAGCCACCATTTAAGAAACGACACTATAACCACAAATCGGACATGAACATCGAGTCGAGGAGGAACAACACGGAGCTGTCCAAGCATGTATGGCGGCTAAAAGAGACGAACGCACCGGTCACCATCAAGTGGAGGATTGCTGAGCAAGCTAAAGGATACAGCAACGTAAGCAAACGGTGTAACCTATGCGTGACGGAGAAATTCCGCATCATTACCGCCGACAGGAGCACCCGCCTGAATAAGAGGAGCGAGTTAATCTCCAAATGTCGTCACGCCAACAAGTTTCAACTCAGCAGGGTAACGTGATGAACAACAAAATACATGAGCCACGCCAGACTGGGGGTGGCTGTTTTGCCCGTCGGGGCCGGGGAGGTGGCGGTCGGGGCTGGGTTCCGCGGGGCGCGGGAATGGTGAGCACTCACCAGGGCTCATGGCTCACGCGCTTTTGGCGGATCTTGGCTTCTGTCGCCGGTTTTCCGATGCCTTGGCGGGTGTGGTAGTCACCCCCTTGCCTGGCGTGAGTGATTCCCACAACACAATCCCCATCAACATTTTTACCACCCTAGGTCACAATTTGATATGTAACAATGCAGCACAAATCTGTATTGATGTGTTACCAGAAAGTCGCGCTGTTTCTCTACCCTGGCTATGCTCTATACTCTCAACATCTTTTTCCTCTTATAATCACGCTGATTTTGTCATCCCTTTTCCTCGCGCTACTGAAATGTACCTCCATCACTTTTGCCCCCTTCTCCCCTTCTCCGTATATATTCTAGCGATTGTTAGTCTTGGTCATATGCTGTCTGATGAAGTGTTCTGACACGAAACTCGGAGTTACAGCGGAATGAGACGTTTTTGATTCATTGCTGTGTAATATTTGTATTACTTGCTCTGTCCAGTGGACATTGAGCACTGTAAGCAGCCTAGGGACCTTAGACAACTGTCTACAGTTCAACTATGTGTGGGAGACACCAAAAAGTTAGGGTGCCAGTTTCCAATGAATGGACTGACTCTGTACTCTGTAGGGAGGTGTACCAAGCACGACGCGTACCGGTATGGTACATAACAAGACCATCTGCACGATCCGTGGTCATAAAACGACTCTGACAAAGTGAAATTTTCATGAGCTGACTATACGTACTACTGACACCAACTGTGACCAATTGAGTCATGGCCGTCAGCTGATGGGCACTGAGCCACTGACTGACCTTCTGACTTCTTCTGTTGGAAAAGGCCGAGTCGGACGAACGCCCACGCTCTCCTCATGATAGCTTCTTCTTGTCCTGTCGATATTAGTATCCGACGACAGCCCTATCGGTGTGTGGCGTGATCATTCAAATGCGTTCGCACTTTTCTTTTTGTCATTTTCAAACGAAAAATGTGACGCATTCTCGCTTTTTTGGCCATTGATTGATTGTGCATGACGTGTGATTCGTCATGGATAGAAAACTACTTCAACAGAGGAAATTTTTGTTTTGGCATGTTTGGTGCTTGGCCTTGGCGACATTCTATTGTGGAGAGGTGATTTCGACATCATTGGTCTCCAATGATTGCCAGTACGCCAAGGATTACGAGTTTTGTATGACCTACCATGAGCGTCTAAGCGTGGAACATCCCACGATTGAGATCGAAATTGGACACTGTGTTTGAAAATAATAATACTAGCAAAGTGCAAATCCGTCAGCAAAAATGCCAGAAACAACCTCTCACTCTGGAGACGAGTCTGCATCTCCGTCTATTCCTCGCAGCAGCAGCAACAAAACCCTGGAGGCGCAGGAGAACCGCTCTCGCCGATCGTCCTCAAAGCTCTCCGAGCACGGTGAGCTGAGTGCTGAGCAGAGTGGAGACATCAGAAATCTGGTCACTGGCGCTGGCAGCACGAGTCCAGTGGCGAGCGGTGACAAGGCGGAGAACGTGGCTAGTGCTAGCAGCAGTGCTATTATCACCACCACCAGCGGCAGCAGCATGGTGGCGACACAGGGTGCCTCAACCGTCCAGCACTCCACCCAGCTGGCACACGACGCAGAGCCAGTGACGGCAGCAGCGATAAGCCACACAGCAAACAGCTGTGGCGGTGCACAACCTGGGCCACTGCTGCCGTCACCGCCGAATCAGAATCAGCTGGGCGTGCGCAACACCAAGGGCGGCTTTCTGCAGCGCATCAAGAAGCAGCGCTCGTCGGGCAGCAAGGATTCCGACGGCAGCAGTCCGGGCACGAATCGCCGGCCTAACCCGTCGTGGCGCGCCAAGTGGCACTCGTCCAACTACAACTCGCGCAACGATGAGTTTCACAAGCTGTTCCGCGAGTTCACGGCGCCGGACGAGGTCCTCATAGACGACTTTGCGTGCGCCCTGCAAAAGGAGATACTCATGCAGGGCCGGCTGTACCTTTCGCGCGAGCACCTTTGCTTCCACTCGAGCATCTTCGGCTTCGAGACGAACATCGTGGTGCGCTGGGACAACGTGCAGGCGGTGACGAGGGAGAAGACCGCCATGCTCTTCCCAAACGCATTGCAGGTCACCGTGCGCACGCCGAGCACCAACGGCGAGCACGTGCTTCAACAACAACAACAACAACAACAGCAGCAGCAACCGTCGCCACAGCAGCCACAGCAGCCGCAGCAGTTTGAGGTCAAGCAGTACTTCTTCTCGTCGTTTGTGCGCCGTGAGCTGACGCACGCCATCGTGATGAAGATCTGGCAGAACAAGCTGCTGGACGGGCCCGAGACGTCGGCGGACCTGCGGCGCTTTGTCTGCGATCGCTACGGCATCGACGCGACCGTGTCGGACGAGGACGAGGAGGACGACGCCGACGACGAGTCAGAGGTGCTGAAGAGCGGTGCCGAGGAGGACACGCGGGCACACGACGGCGACGTCAGCGAGGTGGCGTCCGACGTGGACAGTCTGTCGGACCGTGACGACGGCGATAAGGACGACCATCGGAACGCACCTGCCGCCGCCACCGATGACGCCGCAGCCGACGACGAAGCCGCAGCTGACGACGAAGAGGACGCGGAGGGCGAAGAAGAGCCGGTGGAGTGCCAGTGCGCGGAGCACGCGAACCTGGAGCTTATCGACGAGGTGTTCGACGCGCCTGCCGCGCGCCTGTTCGACATGTTCTTCGCCGACGGCACGGAGCCGTCGCTGTTCATGCAGTCCTGCATCGAGTGGCGCCAACTGGTGGACTTCTCGCAGCAGCCGTGGCGAGCGGTCGGCGACGACGGTGCGACGGTCGACGGAGGCGGCGCGGCGGAGAGAGAGCGCACGGTCACGTTTGTCATGCCGATGGAGGTGAAGATCGGGCCGAAGACGTCCGCCGTCACCGAGCACCAGGTGCAGCGGCGTGCGGTCGCCGACCGAGAGTATCGCGTCGACGTGGACGTCAGCAACGGCGGCATTCCGTACGCCGACACGTTTGGCGTCCGCCTCAGCTACTGCCTGACGCGCGTCTCGGCACACCGCTGTCGATTCCGTATCCACGGCGGCGTCTACTATAAGAAATCCTGCTTCGGATTTGTCAAGACGCTCATCGAGAAGTCGGCCGTCGACGGCATGAAAGCGCATCACGCTCGCCTGCTGAGCTCTATTCACGAGGCCACTCAAAAGCTGCGGTCACCCCCCGTGTCCACTAAGCGCGCCGGCTCGCCTCTCGCCTTGCAGTCGCCGGCGGCTCGCACGCACTCGCGTCGCCCGTCGCTGGGGCAGGCGAAGAGCTCGTCGCGTCACCAGCGCAGCATCAGCAATGCCAGCGCTGGCAAGAGCGCCACCGCCGCGACGACGGGACCGACTGTCGGCAAGACTATGCCAACGACTGCGTCCGCGTCGTCATCGACGCCATCGTCGTCGTCGTCGTTGTTGTGTTCACCGGTGATCATGAACACCGTCATCGTGCTGCTGCTGTTCGTCAACCTGTTCTTCCTCGTCTGCCTGTACTGGGACAAGCCGAGCTCCCAGGCGTCGGCGGGGGCGACACTCGGCGCGGCGTGCGCGTACGGTGACGGGTCGTGCCGCGCGGCCACGCTCAACAAGCTCGCCGCCACTCTGGACACGGCCGCTCTGGACACGCCGGACAAGTGGCGAGTGCTGCTGGACATGCAGCATCGCAGCCACCAGGCGGAGCTGGAGCGGCTGCGAGGCGTGATGGCAACGTCATCTCAACTCCTTGGTGATGTTGTCGCCGCTCTCGACGTGCACATCGATCAGGCCCTGCTGGCTATCAAGTCAACCACGATGAGCGGAAAGAGCGCCGGTGATCCCGGCGTGATGAAGCCAGCGCCTTTGTCATGTGACGCCGGCGTGGACTGTGCTAGTAGTGGTGAATCGCCGCTCAAGGACACCATGCAAGCTGTGCAGCGCCTCCAGGAGCAGCTGAAAGGCAAGCAGTGACGCGGAAACGTTGAGCCGCTTGAGCCCCTCTCTCTCTCTCTCTCTCTCTCTCTCTCTCTCTCTCTCTCTCTCTCTCTCTCTCTCTCTCTCTCTCTTTCTCTCTCGCTTTCTCTCTCTCTCTCTCTTTCTCTCTGTCTCTCTCTCGAGGTTTAGTTTTAGTTGGTCTGCAGTTCATGACTTCGTTATCTCAGACATTGTTTCTGGCTTTCTCCGTTTCCGAAAAAAAGAGTCCTACTTCTAGAGTATTTTTTCTACACTATCCCTGTAGGTGTTATGTAGCTTGTTTGTCTTTTCAGAACTGTAGGAGGTTGAGCTTCACGCCAGACTCACCCTCTACACCTCCGTGCGTGATTCTCACACTGACAATTCGTCGCTCCGCTTTTTCCATGTCCACTCCGCGTAGTTTTATTTTTTTTGTTCTTTACAGTCAAGGTATTCCGCCGTAACCCGTCATATCACCACGTTTCAGCTCTTCTGCCATAAGTCTGCCGCTTTAATAAAGACTTCCTCCATGAAAGCTTCCCTCGCGATTCTGCACTTTATGGGAAGCCCATTTTTTCATACCAGATTTTCATACCGCCATATATGTATTTTTTCCTCTCCCATCGCCCCGTGGGGCTAACACTCACCGGTCGCCTAACCGGCGTCGGCGTCACCTTTTTCGTTCTGCTTGTGATCCGTACCAGAAGCTGTTCTGTTTTTTGTTTTGTTTTTTTTTGTCTTTTCTCCTCTGAACTCACTTTCTCTTCCGTCTTGTTCTCCGGTATATGCTTGTATACCTTGTAGTACGAATGTTTTTTTTGGTTTTTTGTTGCTGCTTATTTTCGTTCATCTCCTTGTTCCCTTGTCTGTGTAGTTCCTATGTACTAGGAGCACTGTCTTGTTAGTTAACTTAGGGATGTTTGTGGTGCTTAGATCGTCCTCTCTCATTAGGTTGTGTCTGGTATTTGACGTACTGCTTCGTTCTGTGTGTGTGCGCGAGCTGGTCCCTCTACTAGGCTCTAGTCTGTATGTGGGGGGGGGGGGGGAGGGGGGTGCGCGTGCGTGTGTGTCTGGAGTGTGGAACTGTAGCTGCATGGCTGGTCAGTGCCGGAGGGACTGTGCTCGGTCAGACACTGCGCGGAGGGACTGTGCACGGTCAGACACTGCGGCGAAGGGACTGTGCATGGTCAGACAACATTGGCATGGTACATATCGTACGAAAGTGGTATGAAATCCCGCGTCGCGAAACATACTGTTCGCCCATACCCAGTAGTTGGAATATAGTGGTTTCGCATCATTGTCATGTGACTAAATTTGTGCAGAAAGTGATCATGTCATGTGTACAGTGGAACCAACATGGTCGACATTGTGTGACCCATAGATGCAGGAGTTGAGTGGACAGCGGAACCAACATGGCCACCGATGTCATGTGACCCACAGATGCAGGGGTTGATGAATTGAGTGGACAGCGGAACCAACATGGCCACCGACGTCATGTGACCCACAGATGCAGGGGTTGAGTGGACAGTGGAAAGAGCATGGCCACCGACAGCATGTGACCATGCAAGGGTTGAGTGGAGTTGGAACCAACATGGCCAACATCACGTGACCCATTATAGATGTGGAGTTCGAACTACATGTACCTGTGTCCCTGGTTGGAACCAACATGGCTGTCCCATGCATGGTCACGTGACAACCATGTGAAATCACTCTATAGCGGGGAGTCGTAAAATACAGGTATTTACGACTCCCCGCGCGTTATATCCGAAGTGACGCGCAATTTCACGTCAAATCTGGCGTGAAACTCCAAATGTCGACGTGAGCCGCAGGTCCCTCGCGTTGTTTTTCGATGCGCGCGACCCGAGCTTTCGCGTCACGTCGGAAATAGTGTGTATCTTAGCACAATCTTACCCCTCTCTCATAACTAAAGCAACGCAATTAATAAAGCGAGTTGCTCACATGCACCTTGAACACCCTTGGCAAGGGTTACTAGCAGGCATCCTTGAAAATTTGACATGAAGGCCTTTTCAAATTTCATCCAAAAGTGAAACGACCATGTGAACCAGCGAGTACTGTAAAACCAGAAAGTCCAACGAGTCACAAAGTCTAAGCATTTTTTAACGACCAGTTTGTTTCGTTATTTGACGAAACGTTATCGCGAACCCGGTTTGAGATGTCTGTGTAAAGCATACAGATGGGTGGCCAGGTAGCCATCGTTAAACCTAGCTTCTGCACGTTATCATGCAAAAATTACAAAAAAACACTAAACTTTTTGGTCGTTAAACTTTCCGGTTTTACAGTACGAGTACAACCTGATGTGAAAAAAATTAAAATTCGACGGGTTCGCGTACCGGGCAGGTCAAGAACAAGGAGTCGTACAACTCAGCTCCCTGGTCAAGAACCACCTTTCCGCTTCCGTGATGTGAACCCACCAAAGAATGGATCCCGTACTCAACGTGTCATGTCAAGCTAGTCCCAGCAGAGACTCCAGACCGCACATCACAAAGGCACAGCGAGGACAACGCGGCGTTCATTTTTCAGCAGAAAATATCAAAGCATATTAAATGCAAGTTCCGGTCGACACGCCGGAAAGGAAATCATGTGGGCTGAAAACAGAAGAAGAGCTCAGGTGTTAGATCCAACACACATCACAGCACAACGTTAAAAAAATACGTGGGAACTGTGATTGGGAGGAACACTGGGTTAGTTTTAATAGATAATTATGTACAATCTGCAAAAAGAATAATATTTACTGCGACAACGAATGGTCACACAACACCACCACCACTATGGGGAGAGTTCTAATCAGGGTGTAGTAAAATGCCGGTATGTTACTACTCCCTGGTTCTAATGGACCCACTCGCACACGACAAAGAGCAACGAACACACAGCAAGGCGCTGGGGAAGCAAGTACGACTGACGGAGCCAATATCCCGCCGCGATAAGATCACGATGCTAATTTTTTTTCTTGAAGGCTGCACTCCTGAAATCTGTCACGTAAGGTGTGTGTGTGTGTGTGGGGGGGGGGGGGGTGCAGGAAAATGACAAAAAGAAGAAGATGAGTGCAATCATGTAAATTGCAAAAAAAATAGAATTCAAAAGGATCTCAATTTCAGCATGCAACACTTTGTTTACTATGAGGACACACACACACCCTTCATACTCGAAACGGAAAAATACTACTCTTTCGGCACTGACCATTTAGAGAAACAGCAACAAAAATCCCATAATTATTGGTCGTGATCGGGAGAAAACGGCATGGGGACTGGCGGAGGGGGAGGGGGCATAGAATAACAAACACTGACGACACGAAACGAAATTGAAAATTGCCACGAGGGTGAGGGTGAAACGATTTATAAAATCACGCCTCTCGGGGGAGGGCTGGAAAGCTCAGGATCAACTGCAAGGGTCGGGGACATGCGTCAAATTATGCACAAGAATTCAAAAATATCACCATGGAAATGATCAATGAGGGCGGTCGGAAGCAGTCCGAAAAAGGAGAAAAATTATCTTCAAAGCGAGTCTCTCGTACAACCGTGCACATGGCCGTTAGATTAGATATTATGTGTGTGTTTTTGTGTGTACGTGTGTACGTGTGTGTGTGTACGCGAGTGTGTACGTGTGTGTGTATTTTGTGTGTGTGTTTTTCGTGTGTTTTTTTGTGTGTGTGTGTACGTGTGTGTACATGTGTGTGTGTGTGTGTGTGTGTGTGTGTGTGTGTACTGGGTTGGCATGGTGATGCCGACTTAGAGCCCATCCTGGTGACCATGGCAGCAGGCAAGTAGTCCGCCGACAGTGCGAGCAGCAGGGCGCACGCCACGATAACGACTTGCGAAGTTCTCGCCGTATGCCCGGCCGGTCCTCATATGCACATTTTGTGTGTGTGTGTGTGGCTACAGCTAGGAACCAGCGCATAGCGGCAGCACAAGACACAAACACATGGCTGCTGCATCTCGTTACAGTGCTACCAATAACAAGCTAGCAGCACGAACAGCTGTTGTTCAGTGCATCGTCACTCGCGGAGATGGCCCGGACAAGTGCGGATGTGGTACGAATCACAGCCGTGCTGCCTTGACGACCTTCTGTGCGTTTGTCACCGCGTTGGTGATGGCCTTCTCCAGCGCGGGCATGTCGGATTCGGACACCGACGCTCCCGTGCACCTGCTGGCGATGGCCTGGGCGGAGGACGCGGCGTTGCGCATCTGTATCAGGCTCATTCGACTGGCGGTGATCTCGCCGCTGTCGATCATGGCCTGCGCGCCGTCCGCCATGCCGAAGACGGCCGAGCAGAAGGCGTCGATGCGGCGTCGGGCGGTCAAATGCGACGACGCACGCTGTCCTCCGGCGCCGCCAGAGAGAGGGTCTTTGCTCTGGATGTCGTCCAGCATGGCGGCCAGCTGATCCGCAGGTGTATCGCCGTAGCCACCTCCGCCTCCGCCACTGGTGCTGCTGTTGCTACTACTGCTCCCACCACCGCCACCAATGCCTGACTGCCCGGTCACGGAGTTGGTGGAGCTGCCGCGCGCCATGGGCGGCTTCTTGGCCGTGGAGGGCTTGGCGGCCATCGGAGGTTTCGGCTTGCGCTGCGGCTGCGGCGGGAGGCGCGACGGTGGCCCGGGCGCACGCACCATCGACGATGTCGTTTCCATGGTGTCACCACCCCCTCCACCGTTGGACAGCGGCTCGTCGGAGGAAGAACAGGAGGCCAAGGGTGGGGGTGTCACGGCCGGTTCCTCGCGTCTGACCGTCATCGGCTGCTGCTGCTGCAGCTGTTGTTGCTGATGCTGCGACGTTGGCCGTGGCGGAGGCATCATGGCACGCTTGAGAGGCTTGGACGCCGTGCCGGGCGGCCCACCTCCGACTCCGGGGGGACTCACGTCCTCCGCGGACGTCAGCGACGACGATGATGACAGTGGTTTGCTTGCCGGTGCGGGAGGAAGGCGCTTTCCCTGCGGCCGAGGAGCCGGCGGCCGACGCTCGTCGGGCAGGCTTGACGGCCGCTCCGGACTCTCTCGACTGTTCGTCATCGTCACTGCCGCACCGGGTAGAGGCGGTAGGGTTGACGTTTGCTGCGGTTGCTGGTGCAGGTGCTGCTGCTGGTGGTGCTGGTGGTGGTGGGAGCGTGACGTTTGAACTTGCTCCTCTGCAGAGCTGTCCCCGCCACCACCTCCTCCACGGTGTAGAGGCGGAGTGCCACGCAGTGCGGGCGAGTCCATCCGGAGACCACCGGGCGATGACGAGAGAACGGACTCGTCGTCGTACATACGCTGATCCACGGCTGACGCCGGTGAGGGAACGGTGGACGACCGTGACGACGTCTGCGGTGGTACGGGCAATGAGCCGCCGGCGTGCTGCGGCAGCGGTTTGGCGGGAGGTGCGGGCAAGGTCGACGCGGCCGGCTGTTCACCAGCGCCGCTAGGTGACTTGGGCGGGGGCGTGGGCACTGGGCGATTGGGCACGCGGTGCGTCGAGTGACGGGCCGGTGGTGGTCGCGGTGGCCCTCGCGTCGGCCGCTTGTCCGTGGTGGACGACTGCGACTGGAACTGCTGCGAGGGTGTCAGCACGGGCGAGCCGGTTGGCCCGGCGTCACCACCCCCGGGAACCTGCGGCAGCGGCGGCAGCTCCTTGCTGTCCTCATGCGAGACGTGCGAGACGTGTGACTGAGCGCTGGACGGTAGCGGAGGCAGGGACGCGTCCCCCGCCTTCTGGTGGTGGCCCAGGGGCGCTGGCGTTGGTGTCGGCGTGTTGGCCGCTCGCATCGGCTTGTCCGGCAGGCGGCGTCCCGGGTTGGGACTCCGTTCCTGCTTGGCCGCAGGTGCTGGCGGCTGAGAGGAGCCCGGTAGGGACGGAAGACCGGCTGGTCCTGACGGCGCAATGACCTCGTGTGATGCCGGCGGAAGCTGCTGCTGCGACGGCGGTCGGAATGGTGGCTCAATTTCGTCGTCGGCACCCTCCAACGGGTCATCTGCAAAAACAACGAAACACATGCAAACACACACACACACACATATTCACGCACACACACTCATGCACACACATGCACACACACACACACACACACACACACACACACACACACACACACACACACACACACACACACAAACGCCAAACACATGTAAATCAAACATTATCGTTACACACTGCCCTGTCACGGACACCATCAAGCTCTGCGAGTCACAGCCGTCACCACGCCCGGCCTGAACATCGAAACAAGCGATTTTCCGTAACTACCAGTTAGCATTTAGTAGTGAAATGTTTACAACTCTGGGGAACTACTGTTCGGCAGAAAATTTCGTCGGTCAACAATTTCGTCCAACTCCAAAGAAAGGGAGTTCGTCCGGTTGTAAATTTCGTCCATGGATCATGAGAGTGTATTGAAAAGCTGGACAAATCGACGTTTGTCCGGCATTTAATTTAGTCCAAAAGCTCCTTGGACGAAAAGACAAAATTAAATTCCAGACGAATATTTCTGCGTATACAGTAGCATACGCGAGTGGTGTGGTGTACAAAATGAACTAAATTCATGCATTATGACGTATGTGTATGAATGAGCCAGTTACCCTTATAACAATATTTCTTGGTCGGGCGCAAATATCGCTATCAGGGTAGGCCGACTGTAGTTTGGAGCACTACAGCCCCTTAGGGGCCCGGTCGCGCATGCAGTCTGGGGTTCCGCGTCGGCAGCGAGGTTCTGCGGCAGCGAGACTGGTGCCTCTCCAGCGGAACCACTTGTGTATGGTCACGCATGACAGACAGGGCAAGCTCCTACGTCTTTGGCGGAAACATGAGAGTGAAATGGACTGTGGTGCCATACGGTACGGAAAATAGACGAGGTGACTCGAATCTGCCACACATTTTCGTTGCATGGACATCATACTAGGGCTGAAACGATCATTCAATAACTCCGAACGATCAACCAATATCATTAACGATCGATATATGAGCCCGAGCGCGCTAAAACATGACCACAGCTTTTTTCGAAAAAGTCGAGAAAATCGCGATTTGAATTCAGCGGCAAATAATACGAAGTGCAGTGCAACGCGAGTCGCTGTTGACTGTTGTTGTTCTCCTCGGTCGACTGGACTGCTCCGGATGCAATTCTTTGTTGCAAGTAAGTTTATTTGTTTGAGTTTGTATTCCATGTTGCGCTGAGTCGCCTAAAACTGATCGTCATCGATGTATCGACAGAAGAGCCTAGTAGTAGTAATGTACTGCGGAGCGGAAGAAGACGACATCATCGCACTCCATGCGCAGGATAAAATATTTTGAGGATTCGGGTCGGAAACAGAAGGAAGACGATGATGTCTACAGCGACGAGTCATTTGAGGGCGACACTTTCATCGAGCGTAAAAAGAATTGATGCTGGTAGTCCCACGATCTGCAGTGACGAGGAATTCTACTCTGATGACAACATGGCAAGCGATTGGCATCGACACTGACTTGGGAGGTGAGTCGGCCGATGATTTGGCCAGAGTGGACATCGCTGCACATATCCGGGACAATGCCAGTATTGGTTGCAAGTGGAAAAACAATCAATGGACTCTGCTGCTCCCTCAACTTGCTCAAGTCGATAATTTGAGTACCCTTATGCGGAACATCGCTAGCACCAGCAGTATGCAGCGAAAGCAGTACTCTCTGGCGAGCGGAGAAAACCGTGTGCAGATGGGCTTTGGTGTGCGGAATAATTATGTAGTATGTTGAGGAAGACTGTGTGCAGCAGTGTATACTGTATATCTGAAAGTACAGGTGGAGTGTGATGGAGAGGACATGGAGTGCCAACTTCTTCGGCCAGCTACAGATGTTGACCGCGTTTTCGCTGGCGGTTCTCCAGTGGTGCTCCAAACAGGAGGTATTTCGGACACCCAGCTCAGCTGCCTATAGACAATTTGGAGGTGGCCGAGTACCTGTCAGCTCATGCTATAAGACCCTGGACAGAGGAATTGACCCGGAAAGGATGAACCAAGGGGCATATCAATTGTGTGCAAAAATGACAATCCCATTGCTGTACATAGAATTTCACCATTTCAACAGTGCTGCATATAATACCATTGTAGCAACACTTAGACATGTCCGATCAATCCAAAACTTTCATACAGTGACCATTAGGTGTGTTAGATCATTTTTAACCCTTTCAGCACGCATCACGTATATGTACGTGATGGTACATGTAACTGGCCCACGGATCACGTATATATATATATACGTGATGCGTACAGTGAAAATGAACGTACTCTCGAGACATCCGTGGTCGACGGATCTTATCCCTACGTGGACCAGTGACGTGCTGGATGAACGTCGACTGTTCTACGATAGTTCTGACGGGCCCACGTGTGCCGCTATGCACGCGTACTAGTACATAGATGTCGCGTGCGAACATGCATTCCGCAGAAAAATTGTGAGTGAATAGGACTACTTTTGGAAAATCACGAAAATCACTGGTTTTGGCTCCGCGGGTCAGTTACACACCCTGGCCGTGCTGAAAGGGTTAAACAAAAAACTGAAAATCGAATTTTTGGTCTGTGGTCATATTTTAGCGTGCTCTGGCTCATTTTGATTTTATCGATTCTTGTCGGCTCTACTCGTGTACCTCGCACACCAGTTTATGAAGAAATTCCATGATACCTTTGGTACCTTAGAAATTTGTGGCAGCGCACTGTTGACATCTGTGGAAATCTGCCTGGTTTTATCTAACAGTGTGCATGGCCAGCGTTCTCTGCTGATGTTATTGTTGCATGGGCTTCTCAGCATACTCACAGCGGCCAAAGCTCACACTCTAACCAGTGCATAGCGGCGGGTAAGATTCGACCTTCACTACGACACGCGCGCGCACACACACACACACACACACACACAACCACGAACGCATGCGTGAACACACACTCGTACACACATATATATATACACATGTCAACAAACACATATATATATACATATAATTATGGACACACACACACACACACTCATGCATGAAGAAGAAAATCGAAGACATGGAGGTATTCTCTTACCCATGTCCAAGACTTGACTGAGCCTTGCACCAGAAAGAGCTGATGGTCACAACAAAAATAGACACAAGCAAACGGCCCAGTCACCAAATGAATAGCAATTTCAATGCGTGTGTGCATGTGTGCACGTGCGTGTTTGCGTGGTGTTGTTTTGTGCTCAGTGAAAGCATCTGACACTTTTCGAGCTCACATTCTTGCCTTCTTTTTTGGTTTCTATCTGCACGGAGGTACTCTGGCACGACCAAGGTCAACCTGGGTCAACCTCATTTAGGCCATGGTAAAATTATCTTTGATTCTCAAGTACGCGCGCACCGTTTTTGGCGGCGCACCAACGAATTTTTTAATTCTATGCATGCATATGCGCGCATGAAAACGGGCAATGCGAAAGGCATGAATCAGGGAGTAATAAAATACCGGTATTTTTCTACTCCCTGGCCTGAATATTATGAACATGTGACCATATACATATGTGTGACCCTATCTTTGGAAATAAAAAAATGTGGGAAATAAAATAAAAAATCGCTCGCTCGCACCGATTTTCACAGGCTCATGACCTGAGAATCAACTTTATTATTTACCATGGCCTTATGTCAAGACATCATCAATGACATCATCAATGAGATCATGAGAATCGCAAAAGTCTCTATTGTATTCAAGACATCAACGACATTTACTCCGAGCACCGCTGACGAGACCTTTTGTTGAGGAGCACTTGACATTCGGTCAGCAAGTCGATGCAATCCGGAAGAAGGTCAGTGCAAAGGTGAATGCATTTCGGCGCTGCAGCACGATGTTGACCAATGCAAACCAGGCGCACATTCCATCTCTCTTTCGTCCAGTCTACACTGGAATATGCTAGCAATGCTTACGTGCACAGTCTGCGACAACATGGTTATGATTCTCTCACCCGCATCTCTTCCCCTCCTCATGGTTTTTACTGTATTATGGCACGCTTTGTAGACGCCGAGACCTTGAAGGTCGGCAGAGCAGCCTGGCCCCGCCACCACTTCTCGCACATATTCGCCAATATAGTGGACATTCGTATAAAAATGAATAAAAAAATCTCTCGCCGTTCATTACGTACTGTTTTTGGCTACCCGCCCAGCGCAGATGTTCTGTGTATCCTGTCTCAAAACAACCCGACACCCATCATAATTCGTTTCTCCCATATACTGTATCTTCTTGTATTCAGATGCGTTCATTCTTCTGCCAGTGCACTTCTGTGCCACCTTTTCTGCCTTTGTGCCAATTCTGAGGCACGAAGCCGCACCTGCAAAAGGTCTCAAGTCTCGCTTGGACTTGTACTGCCACGAGCCTCCTCTCGATTTGGTTATTCCTCTCTTTCTTATTTAGCCACTGACCGCTGGAACTCATTTCCGGCATCGGTCCGCCTTGCTGCTTCACCAAGTCAATTTCGTACCGCAATCCTAGATCGGCTAGGGTACCCCGTAAGGAGACCATAGGTCTATGGGGACTTCCCTAGAGAAATAAGACCTACAGGGTCTAAGGGGTTGTCCATAATTATCGAAGTTTTTTCACAAAACGAAATAATTTCGTAATGGGGTGGAAGGGGGCTGACCAATTTCGTTTCAGAAAACACTGATGCATGTACATGGCCGATGGAGCAATGACACACTTGCAACTGTTGTTGTACATGTACATGTATATGTATATGCATGGATATCAACATTTTTTTACGTTCTGAGGGGGAGAGAGGGAGGGGTTGGGTCTAAACTAAAATAATTTGTTTTGGTGAAAAATGTTTGATGTTTACGGACGGCCCCTAATCAGCTACCGTATGCCCCCCCCCCCCCCAAATATATGCCCCACCTCTTTACACTTACCCTCAAGGGCACAGAAGGGGATGCAGTGCGACTTAAAATCGAGTGTGACATCATATCTACGTCACTACATTGGAACAACTCGGCTCAAACCTGAAAAGTGAGGGTGCGACCTAAAATCGAGTGTGACTTATAATCGGGGAAATACGGTAGCTGTTCGAAGATTACAATTTGCAGTGATTAACCAGGCCCATCAGTTACGTGAGCACAGTGTGAGGTTAAAGCGTCATGTCAATCAACGTTATTCCATTTCACATCGTGAACATCATAAAAATCACCACCATTGTACCTACGTCATTGATCACATTATCGGCGACTCATCATTACATCATCATTATGTCATTATAATTATGATTACATCATCCGGTTAGCAGTTATGAGTCATTAGTCTTACCATTAGCGTCATCATATACAGGGCAGGTATCACCTAAGTCAGATAATCAGTACATCAGATATATGCACATGCAAGCAAGCACACACACACATACACACACACATACATACACACGCACACACACACACACACACACACACACACACACACACACACGCACGCACGCACGCACGCAGACACTAACTTAAACACACTGCTTGCGATGCGGGGAGTGAGAAGCTACAGAGAGGGATTGGAGGGGTCGGTCAGGTGGTCAATACCAAAGCAGGAGTGTTAGCGAAGCCAGGGCAGTACAGTGTAGTCAATAATACCGCATTATCTCTAATAGGGCTTGAATATGCTACGTCACAGCATTGCAACAATTTCAAAAATTCAAAAACTGGATCCACTTGGATCCAGTTTTTGTATGGATCCAAGCACATTTCAAGCCGTCTTACTCACAGCAAGGTGATGTAACCTGTGAAACTGACTGATTTGGCTACTGGGGGCGGGGTTACAACTGATGGCGAAGTAAAAGTCACCCCTGCATACGACATGAGTGGGTTGCTATGCACCCACATACTGAAGTAATGGCAAAGTCACACCTTAGTGGATCCAAAATAGAAATCTGATGTCAACTTACTACTCCCTGGCCGTTTTTGACGTCATCACTTTCAAGCCCTATATAAGCACGGTCCTTTATTTTTCAATGTACCTCCGCCCCGTGCTATTATTGGAGACGTTCCTTTATTGGAGGCTGTTCCATTATTATTTCAACCTCATTTCAGAGGCATGTTGCCATGCCAAATTCATGTCAAACACACACATTTCAGGGTTTTTCGCCAGTACAGATAATGAATTTACACAGTGTGCTTATAATGGAGACTGAGCAGTTTATTTTTTGAATGCCACCCCAAGATGTTCTATTATTGGAGACGTGGTATTATTGGAGACTGTGCTTATAATAGAGATAATACGGTAATAATACTACTAATAATAGTTACAGTTCGCATGTCACCCATGGAAGGGTCCATGGGTTTAACGCATCTGTCAATGAAATCCAGGCAGAAGAGCCAACAAAAGGTATCTCAATATTGTTAGAACGTATCGCAGTAAGGACTACGCAAGCGCAGCACATTTCTCCACAAGCATCAGCCACTTTTTCTTGTCTAGAGCCAGTTCAAAACAGTGTAGTCAATTCTGAGGAACTAAAACTAAAAAACCCTAGAAGCCGCAAACAGAAGCAGCTAGCACAAACTATTTTACTCTTGAGGGACTGCCCGGGTTATCCATAAGTTTAAAATTTTGTTATGAAATGTTCCAGCATTTTTCTGCTCACACCACCCCACATTTTCTGCTTAAAAAAACGAAATTTGGCAGCAAAGTATTGCTTTCGCTATTCAGAGCCATGCGTTTGACTGGGATTTCGTGCTTTTGCAGCCATATTCAAACTTCAAAACCAGAAAATAAATATTGTGTGAGCACTACCGTGTAGCAATACCGTAAAGTACCGCCAGAGCGCCCCGTCTGGCGAGAGCGCCCCACCTTGAGTTTACAGCCAGAGAACGGAAAATCGTATGGCAGAGTGCAACGAAGTTTGTACGATGTAAGACTCTTCGTGTACTAAGGTCGCACTTAGCAGGTTTTTGTGTGGAGCTTGTGTCCGCTCGAAGGTACGGATTGACTGCACAACGTGCTATATGTGTACAAGGTTCATGTCGTATGACCTACAGACAGCAGACCACCTCCACAATACGACCACGAAAGGATGAGATAGTGGGGCGCTCTGGCAGTACTTTACGGTATACACGCCGTGATATGTAGCATCATCATTGTTGTGTTGGGCCTGATTTGTTCACAACGAGCATGTGCATATATGATACAGATGAGAGAGAGACAATGCGGAGAGAGACAATGCGGAGAGAGACAACGCGGAGAGAGACAATACAGAGAGAGAGACAATACGGAGAGAGACAATGCTGGGACAATCACTACAGTACACACTACAATCATGATACAGTGGAATATCGGAATTCCGACCGCCTTTCTGACCGGGAAAGTGGTCTAATTTCCAAGGTTATATGTTGCATGAATATGTCTATCTTGTATTCGTCACGAGGGAAACTCCGGGACTGAGGAAAAATGGTCGGATTGATGAGGTGGTCGGAAAGCCAAGTGTCACTGTAATACAAAACAAACAAGTACTCTCCCCCCCCCCCCCCACACACACACATGCGCACACGCACACACACACACGCGCGCACGCACACACACACACACGCACACACAAACGTGAAGCGCCTACCTTCCTGAAGGTTGGTGTTGCTGAACATTGTATTCAGGCTGTGATGAATCTGTGCAAACGTTTGCCGATCATCAGGAGAGAACTCCCAGCCTATCAAGTGCAGCAGAACAAGGACAAGCACATGCGTGCACGCACACCCACACATGCACGCACACCCACACGTGCCGACACACCACGTACCACAGCTCACGCATGCACTCGCAGACACACACACACACACACACACACACACACACACACACACACACACACACACACACACACACACACACACACATAAAACACAAGACAAATCATTCAGCCAATGTGCCGCTGTCAATCACTGTCGCATTGTGGTCAGTAACCAAGGCAGGCACAGTGGGTTGGTCAAAGACCATGATTGAGATAGGAGAGGTGCCTGGTTCAAGTCCTGCCTGCGAGCGGGTTTCCAGCAATGTGCTGCTGCTGATGCTGCTGCTCACAGTCTACAGGGGATTGCGGCCAGGGACACAAGAAGTACACGGGATGCGGCTAGTGGAGCTTTCAGCAGTTTTGCCAGGAGCTGTGAGGCTTATCCCCTCACCCCTCACACCATTAGGCGCTACATCTGCCGCTAGATTTACCGGCTGTAAGTTCCTTGGGAATAAGGACAAGAGAGTACATTATTGGCATTCGATATCGCATCAGCCACCATATGACACACACACACACACACATATACACAAATACACACACGTACACACACGTACACATACATGTACACACACGCACATTATACACATACACACATGTACAAAAATACACACACACACACACACACACACACACAGGAGAAACGTACAATTCAGCATGAGTTCGTAGACTTCGGCCGGACATCCATCGGGACATGGCATGCGATAGCCACTGTCAAGCTTCTCGTAGACCAGACTCAGCTCTATCCCGGGATACGGTGACATACCGTATGTTGCTAACTCCCAGAGGAGAATACCGAAAGCTATACGGCAGAACAGCAGAGCAACAAAGAAATAAATGAGAAGAGACAATGAGGACAGCATGAGAAATGAGAGAGAGAGAGAGAGAGAGAGAGAGAGAGAGAGAGAGAGAGAGAGAGAGAGAGAGTTAAACTCGGACTAGCAAGTTATACACACATACACACACCACATACACGCACACACATGCACACACACACACACACACACACACACACACATACTTACACCATACGTCTGACTGGGACGAGAACGTGTTGTACGCGAGTGACTCCGGCGCCGTCCACTTGATAGGGAACTTGGCACCCTCGTGTGCCACATACACATCATTCGTGGACGTTACGAGACGAGACAGACCAAAGTCTGCCACTTTCACGCGATGATTTTCGCCGACTAGGCAATTCCTGGCTGCCAGATCTCTGCAACAGAGAAGCATCACACATACTCAGGGGCGTCGGAAGTTAATTTAGCGTGGTACAGTCAGCTATCTGAAGTATAATTTATTCGTGAGAGAGGGGTGGCTGAGCTGAAAACTTTGGAAATTCAGAGCCCAATCAGTGATTTTTATTGATTCATGGGGTACTTGGCGCAAAGAGAGGTACGGTCAATACCGTAGTGAACGTACCGTGTGCGACGCCCCTGATACTGTAAGTCTACTCATTTTCGGCCCGTTAAAATTTCGCCCTCCCAGGGCTAAAATCTCGTCAGACGAAATAGCACGTCATAGTACATTTGAGATCAGCGGGAAGAAGATGACGACGTCCACTAATTTAGTATCTGTGCACACGAATCTGCTGTGTGTGTGACTCTGTGTGTCAGCTATGATATCATCTTCTGTGGTTCCATGCCTAGCATGTACGTCTGAACCATCCTGCAAAGTTTGAATGACGTAGGTTGAGCGATCGCTCCGCGAAACATACTTTTTGAAATTCTCTTCATAGTATATCTTCCACCATTGAAATTTCGAATTTCTTCAAAAAAAGTGCTGAGAGGGGTGGCTTGCAACCTCGATATGGCTTGTTCCAGGCATGCTTTGGAGCCATCTTCTGTTGAAGTAGTGGCGGGGATCTGCCCTGCAACTGCTACAACAAAAAATGATTCGATCTGAGAAAGGGTGAGACCGCGAATCTCGGTTGAATATTGAGTATTTCAAGCCTTTTCACGATGAAGATGGAGTTCTTTTTGGAGATGGACGTCGCGGCAAAGGACATGGTGTCCGACTTCTGGCGTCTGGTGAAGCCAGGGATCATTTGTCCAGTCAGGTCGGCAGCCTAACAGTCGGAAAGCTTGTGTTTGGATCCCGTTCTGCTCGATGTGGTAGATCACAAACAATTTGATATCGCACAAATTGATCTCAGCATCGTGCGTACGGTATTTTATATTCAGAAAATCCCAAAGTGTCTCTGTGTGGCCGTCCTATGCCACGAGAAACTCCAATCAGGCTCCTATGTCCTCTGCCTTCATGATTGAATGTCCACTTCGTTTGAACAACGAACACAACAATCGAGGACGGCTTTGCAATGAAAAATACAGCTATACTGGAGCTGAAAAAAAGAAGAAAAAAACGTGCTCAGGATGAGACTCGAGTACACGCATACTCTCCCAGCAGGTGAAACGCAAATTTTTGTGAAAAATGCGTGTCGCAGACTGACCAGTAATTTCGCCTGACGATTTCGGCCTCCCAGGGCTAAAACCCATTTCGTCCTCCCAGGGCTAAAACCCATTTCGTCCTCCCAGGGCTAAAACCCATTTCGGCCTCCCAGGGCTAAAACCCATTTCGGCCTCCCAGGGCTAAAACCCATTTCATCCTCCCAGGGCTGAAACCCATTTCGTCCTCCCAGGGCTTAAACCCATTTCGTCCTCCCAGGGCTAAAACCCATTTCGTCCTCCTAGGGCTAAAACCCATTTCGTCCTCCCAGGGCTAAAGCACATTTTGGCCGCATCAAATTTTCGGCCTGTACTGCTGCCGCCTGTATACACTGTCCCGCTGAAACTTGCAAAACGAGATTTCGGCCAGACATGACCAGGCCGAAAATAGCCAAAAATAAATATGCGTATCTGCTGACCTACTGTTAGATTTGTCAAAAGAAGAGGTTGGTGCGACTTCGGCCATACTTGGGAAACTGTGCGTCGCTTCCTACGTGGGAGCTCGCGCTTTTCCAAGTCAAGAGAGAGATTTCAAGTCGGCAGAAAAAGCGCGAGCTCCCATGTAGGGAGCGACATACAATTCCATAAGGTTAGTTAGCTTGGATAAAGTGCCAATAACGGGACTAGAAGCCATGTATGGAGAAGCTGCATCTGCGCCTCGATTCCTTTGGGTGGTGGTGTTCACACTGACGTGGAAACCTCAGTCAGAGCCGGAAGCAGCAGCAACAGCAGCAGCAGCAGCAGCCAGAGTTGCTCCGTGCTCTCACCTGTGAATCATACCACGCGATTCCAAGTACGCCATGCCTGCTGCAACCTGTGGACACACGCGGACACACACGCGGACACCCACACACATGTACACACATGTACACACACACACACACACACACACACACACACACACACGCACGCACGCACACACACACACACACACACACATGTACACACACCGACACACACACACACACACACACACACACACACACACAAGTATGCATCGTAACTTCGTAAGGAAGGAGCACATCAATCGCGGAATGGCAGGCAATAGCGAGGCTTTTCTCTACGTGAAACGTAGAAAAATCACGGAAAGGCTTCGCGTCTTTTTTGGGTCCAGATTTCTGCGCGGAGATGAAGTTCTCTACGTTCTGGCACAGGTAAGGAAAATGCGTACAAATTGGCTGGGTATCATTCAGATCAGGCAGAAAACTTCGTTCTTGTCTACTCTCTTGTCTAAATACTTCTTCCATATTCAATACCATAAAACCCCTGTGTTCTGCAAGTGTGAGGGGACTGTGTTTAGCCGGGAGCTAACACCTGCGTAGCCACGTACATGAGCGTGAAAATAGGACCAGCCTAGGTTACGACCCTGAACCCCCCCCCCCTTCCCCTAGTTCTTTGATACCCCACAGTACTGCACACACTGTGTACCTGCGTTGCCATGTACATGAGCGTGCCCCCCCCCCCCCCTCCCCGGATCTTCGGCACACCACAGTACTGCACACATCGTACCTGCGTTGCCATGTACATGAGCGTGACCGCCTCCAGGTTGGAGTTCTCGTCGGCGCGCAGAAAGTCGAGCAGGTTGCCGTTGGGCATGTACTCGGTGACGATGAAGAACGGCTGCTCTCGCGTGCACACGCCGAGCAGCTGTACTAGGTTTTTGTGCTTGACCTGTGAACACACACGGGGCAGTAGGACAGACAGGAGAGAGAGAGAGAGAAAGAGAGAGAGAGAGAGAGAGAGAGAGAGAGAGAGAGAGAGGGAGGGAGAGAGAGAGAGAGAGAGAGAGAGAGAGAGAGAGAGAGAGAGAGAGAGAGAGAGAGAGAGAGAGAGAGAGAGAGAGAGTTGGTACAGCCAAGTCAGCATTATCGATAATTTTCACGAAGCGAAAAAGTTGTGACCCCCACCCACATACCCCTGTACGAAAAATATATTGACTTGGCAGCTAGAATGGGTTGGTGTTTCAGTTATCAATATTTTTCACAACGAAACTTTTATGTTCCGTTTAAAAGATCAATAATCATGGACGACACCTAGGGCTCCGCTCTGTAATGAGACACCGTTGACCAGTACTTAGAGACCAGGGGTGGGAGACGTGTGAGCAATGGAGGGAAAGGTGGGCAGGAGAGAAAGAGAGGGAGACAGGGGGGGGGGGGGGGGGTAGGGAGAGGAGGGAATGTCCCCAGGCCATGCCGCAATATGGCATATTCTGCCTTGTGTTGGACAAAGCTCCCTCTACAACGGCTACATCAGGGACAGCAAACTTGGTGGCAAAGAGCCGATGCTCTCTCGATGGTCTTGGCGTTGCTCCTAGGAGGCTGTGACGTGCCGGCTGTTAGAATTCCCAATATTCCCTACCACAGTAAAGGGATTTCCCCTACCAACGTAAATGGATTTTCCCTACCAAAGTAAAGGGATTTTCCCCTACCTGTTTCATAACGCTGGCTTCTTTTAGAAACTCGTCGGCCTGCATTGTATCCTCCTGCACAGAGTGGCAACATAACACAGATACAGATAGACAACTGCATCATCATGTGTGTGGCGTGAACACACTGGTTGTCATCAATATTGTGAAGTAGCTTACATTATCGCACAAGAAAATGAAGCCAGCAGTGAACCTGGCTTTGTTACCTCATCAACTTCACAACTGGCTTCGTCTTTTTGTGAGCCTACATATATAATTATGTTTCCCTCCGCCTAAGGCCCTACGTAAGTAAAGTTCGCACAATTTTGTTGAAAAGCACAACCAGCCTGGTTAGAGAAGTTGCGCTCGTGCCAGGCCACCGCCATGCCTGATTGTACCAGGGTGGCAGATGCAGCGCCGGTTACCGGTTACAACACAATTCGTCCGTACATAAACCTCGTTACACTACACCTAGTCCACTGGTCGGAGGCTATGATTCCGAGACCTCTGGTCGTAGGCTATGATTCCGAGACCTCTGGTTGGATGAGCCTCGCCAACCACATTGGCTCACCCCCCCCCCCCCCCCCCACACACACACACACTCCCCTTTGTCTTGTTGTCCAGTGTCACCTCAGTTGTCCTCTTTCCTTGAGTTTTATTATTAGGGCTGTGTTCGCTAGAAAAAATGTTCCTCGGGTGTTCCAAACCTCAGTATGAGATAAAACTGACTACGCAGTAACAAGATCAAAGCCCAGATGATCAAGCAGAAAATGCAAGGTACTTTTCTGTGAAGTTCTAGAAACATACGACCCTTGGAAATCCAAGGAACAGCCGTATCGGAGATTTCCAATTATCTAATAACGAGTTGAAGTTGAAATGCCAACAGTTTATGTTGTAGTGAGGGTACCCCGTATCAGTACGAAACAGTCCTTGCATCTACAGTTGCAAGTCCTGTTATGAGATAAGTCTCCTTATAAGATAACACATTTGATGGCCCAGATGGTATCTACTGTAACAAGGGTGGGGACCTGTAGCTAGAAAATGGCCGAAGCGCTCGAACATTCTTACTCACCGGCAGCAGCAAATCAACAACTTGCTACTGCTGGTGGTGGTGGTGTTGCAACTGCACTAAGATATCACCTCCCTTATTTTCCATGAATATAAATCGCACATTTTCAAACTAAAATTCAAGGGCAACAAGGGGGTTACAGCTTACAATCGAGCATGGCTTACTACTGAAGTGAATATATCGAAACAGTACATTGCTCAAACCTGACAATTGGTGTGCGGCTTGTAATCGAGTGCGACTTATAATCGGGCAAATACGGTATTTCGAATTTCCACAAAAGTCCTAACAGTCGAGACATGCCGAACTTTCATTGATAATAGCAGGCCAGCACCCAGCAAGGGTCTGGCCAGCCAATCATCACAGATGTACTATGGATACGGCTTACCAAGTGCAAATAAGCTCACAAGAGCGTGCCACTCTCCGACAGCGAAAACTCGCATCAGGTGCTCCAAGTAGTATAGTCGTCGCCAAAAAAATCCGGCCAATGCCATGGATACATGTACAGAGCTATGGTATATCTACGCGTTCACATGCATTTACAGTATAGGGTCTACCAACACAGCACTGAACTAAAACAGTCCGTGCTGCGCTCTGCCTGCGCTCCTGCAGTCGAGTCGAGCACAGCATCGACTGAGTCTGTGCAGTACGGACAGTGCATGCACTTCAGAGTGCAGGCCCGGCAGCAGAGCATGTGCCGTGCACGAGGCTAGTACAGTCAGTAGTAGATCTAATATAGCACTAGCAGCGGCAGTGCACGAGGCCGCCACGTACAACTACCGGTAGCTGGCATAGCATTGGGCGGATTCTTTTGGCGACGACTGTAGTTGGCAAGTACGATTTGTACTACGTACAGCAAAGTCCGCTGCAGCGTGCGTGCAGTCTGAATATCTGCCATGGATCATGCTGATGACTCGCACAAGCCGAATGGGTCGCTGTCAGGGAGCGCTATTTTGTACGTAAAGGGGGAACAGTACACCACGTGATATGAGTTTTTGCCGTCGGCGGACCCCATGGAAAGGGTATCCAGAGCTGCACACTCTTGCTAGTACAGTCGACTCCTGATAATTAGGCCAAAACAAATAATGACCTTGTTTCCGGTCGCCCGATCGGGCCACTTTTTCCCAAATTCTGAAACTTTTTTTGTCCCAAATGTATGCAAACGGTGGCAATGCCATGTGTGCAAGTGCACTCAACGAGTCATAACTCAAGTCAAATCTCAACTGAATTCCACAATCGAAACACCTACAAGGTAGCAGAGATTCTCAGCTGTCGGCTCGAAAACCTCCGGGGTCGATACGAGCTAGAATAACGGAGCTGTAAGGACTCGAAATGTTTGCTTGATTTCTCAGGATGTACGAAAACAGGAATACACCACATGCTGTACAAGAACAGTGAGTCAGTCAACTATGCCATTGATCCTTGCCATGATATATGTACAATGTACATGTGTAGGTGCTCTTGTCCATCAATGCCACAACGATTGAGGAACCAAAAAAAGTATCCAAAAAAGTTTCATTCCGGCCGACCGAGTCTCCTTTTTGAGGGGTTGCCGACCGGAAACAAGCCTATTTTTTGTTTTGGCCTTATAACGAATAACGAACATCTACGAAAAAGATTTGCTACAAAGGGTCGGTTTTGTATGGGCTCGACCGGGGACATGGACAATGGTTTGTTGTGTCACGACATTCGCTATACGCGGATTCATCGTAAGTGGTGTCGACTGTAGCTCATGTTCTCTCGGTTAAGCTTACCTTGAAAGTCTTGACGGCAACCACGCGATTGAAGCTCTTCCAGTGTGCCTTGTAGACCTCGCCGTACTGTCCGCCGCCGAGCTTCTGCCCCATCTCGATGTCGGTGCGGCCAATCTCCCAGCGGTCCACGTCCGGCAGGCCAAACACTGGCGGAGCGTCCTTCTTCGGGGCCGGGTACTTCAGGGTGGTCGTCAGGCCGTCCGGGTTCGTCGAATGGTGCTGGACGAGCTCCGGCAGCGTGAAGAACTGCGCCTCCTGCGTGATGTAGTACGTCTTCGCCGCCTGGTCATTGTTGATGCGGTAGTGGTAGACGCGGCCCTCGTAGCGCAGCGAGATCGAGTGCTGACCGGGGATGCTCTCGCTCTCGCGCAGCAGATACGAGCCATTGATGCCGCTCTTCAGCAGGTACTCGGCCTCGTTGCGTGATATTCGCCCGTGGTACCAGCTGTACTTCTCAAGGCTGTTCGGCTTCGTCAGGTAGTTGGTCGGCACCCAGCCGATCATGCCGTTGCGGTTCTGCGCCTGGCACCACTCCCCGCCGCTGTTGTCGTAGCAGTGGACCAGCACCTCCTCGCCAGCGGTCAGCGGTATCATGCTCTCGTCCGTTGCCACGAAGTCGTGCAGCACAATGACCATCTGATCGCTGCCCGCTCCGCCAGCTCCGCCACCGTCGGCAGGTAGGTGCGCTGCGGACGGGTCGCGCGAAGCGTCGATCCCCGCGCCACCAGGTGTCGACGGTAGCGGGCGCTCTGCGTGAACATCGTCGCCGACAACCGAAGCTGCGAACGATACAGCAACAACAACAGCAGAACGGACAGACAGCACGCTAACATACTGATATTATAGTGGACACTGCACACCGGTAACGGCCCTACGAAAACAGTTAGCGCGACACTCGACGCAAACAATGGCCTAGAAAAGCACTTTCGCTCGAAATCGTGACGCACCTGGCGTCTCAATCCAGGCAGCAGCAGGTGGACAAGTTACATTCGACTACGCTGTGAAGAAAACAATAGGAACATTGCGGAACATTGAAACAAACAGCGCTCTGCGTGATCTACTGCAACAGGAGCGGAAGGTTACAAGAATAAAACACAGCGGACGGGGTAAGCTAGAGAAGAAACACGACTCTGGTTCCAATATTCCACACAACATGAACACGCTTCGTCGCTCAGTCGATTTGTACGTCAACCCGTGGCCCGGCTGAAGCGACAGCATCGGCTACTACAAGAGAGGAATGTGTCTCGATAGTACAGGGTGGGTTTCCACAAAGAACCACTCAGCTGAAGACGAACCACAATAATTTAGAAATAATAGCTCTTTACGGAATTCATGTGCACAACATTTTTGACATTTCCATATTCGCGCTTACCTGTGTCCTTGGTTCGTTGGAGCTTCTTGCCAAGTCCGCTCAATGCACGACCGCTAACAGAACTAGTTCTGTTTCCCGACTGCTCCGCTCCCATGGCTCGCAAGGGCCCCAGGCGAAAACCCCACGAGAACACGGACTGCTAGGGAGCTGTGGGACCGAGCGTAAAGACAACTACCGCGTTGGTCGTAACACCATAACTACAGCGGTGTGCGCTTTAGCGGACACAAAATCTATACTGGCTGTTTAGCAGCACGATCACAACTCTATATCTAGCAATGGGTTGGCTTTACGCGCAACATCCTTCACAAAGGAACAAACTCGCTACTATCATTCCGCTGGACGCACGCCATGAGCGCACGAGGAAGATCAAGAACGGATTCTGCAAGACGATTTTCAGGCTCCAAAATGCTCAAATATTTTTCCTGCAAACAAACTCAAAATCATCAATCATCCTCATAAAGCATATCGCGAATATCAGGCTCGTTTCAGGACACGGCCGGTACGATTATGACTCAGTTGCGAGTCAGTATGACTCTGAGCGTGGCATGAAGCCTGAGCTGATGAGTGATGACTGATGTGCATGCATGTGCCTGTGTGCAGGTCAACTCCATCCAGCTCATCTCAGCTGAGCTCATGTCAGTCATGAGTTCCACAGGCACAGGTTTTCCACCCCAGATCAGGGGTGCCAGGCCGGCTGTATGACCAACACGGCAACAGTAACACCGAACACTGCGCGTGCTACTGGCCCGTCTGTCACTGTCTACTACTACGAGTACTAGTGTCTGTGTCAGGACTACTGACTAGACTGGCGTCTGTAACACTACTACTAGTACTACATTATTTTGTACTACTAGTACTACAGTGCTTGTAACTGAAATCCGACCCCCTGAGCGGTGCGCTCACATCGCAAAGACCCAACACGGAATGGTAAAAGTACGCGACAGAGACCGGTAGAATGTGAACCCACCGCTCAGGTGGTCGGATTTCAGTTGCCAGCACTGTACTTACGCTAACGTAACACTAACAGTACTGTACGTATACGTATGACCATGAAGAAGGCATGATCAGATGATTGATAGATAAGAAGGCATGAACATGATTACAAGTACTAGTAGACTGAGTGATGAAGGCACGATGCCGATGGCTGACGGATGTGTGAATCCTGACCGAGCTAGGCGACCCAAGACCAAGTGAACCTACAAAGTCGTAGACCATGCATGGTAGACCAGATAAACCTACACCAGTCGCAATGACAGCGACTCTGAGCTGAGTGTCTCTTGAACCTGGTGAACTGAAGCCTTCTGAAAAAAATAATGGTAGGTCTACATGTACATTGGAGTTGAAGTGAACTGCACTACAATCTGGTGTGACCAGTGCCGGCAGTGGTGCCAGTGGAGTGAGGCCGGGGCGCTACCTCACTGACCACTGACCAGTGTTATGACCATAAACCCATGATGGTGTCGGTAGAGCCAGTATAGGTATCTGTAGACTATCTACATTAATTTTAGCTAGTTCCGTATTTTCTTGGCCGGTTGTTGATTGTAGATGTTCGCCACCACCACGTATCAAACACGTTACGCCTACGCGGACTGGACTGGAGTCGTGGTTTTCGTGAGACATGACAGTGAGTTGACACGCTGCTCACTGTAACAAAAGGCGCTAACACACAGTAACACCTCGGGGAGTCGGCAGTCTGTGTCTAGTACTAGTAGTACATGTACAGCGTAGTATTGTATTATTTTTGGTGTGGGTGAAGAGTGTGATGTAGGCGACGGAAGTGGACATGTCGACATTACAGCACGCCGCGTAGGCGCGTACCGGTCGTGACTCGACTCGCGACTGGACTGCGCAGACGTCTAGAGTCTCGACCCAGATGATCCAGGGGTTACCACGGTGACTCACAACTCCGATCCCGTTTGATCAGAGATGTCCACATTTACATTGTGTAACATGCTTGTTACTAGTAATACTACTGTCTGTCTGTACAGTACTCATGGTACTACTCCAGTCCTCTTTGTGAAAGTAATAATAATTAGTCGACTAGAGGAGTAGAGCTCATGTCTCATGACATTATTCTTTCTTCGAAGCAAATGACTATGACTGTACATCATATGTACCGCAAGTAATTTGAAACTCGGATGTTGAGCCATAAATAAATGTAGAAAGGAAAAAGACCTTATGGATACGAGCTAAGAGTAACTCTCCATCACTGTAACATGATACTATATACAGTCAGAAAGTGCAATAACTAGGCACAAAACTGACAGAGTACTGAGACATTCGACGTCCTGACACCTAGCTTCAACACATCTCCGTAGCGCTAACCGACGGCCTTCCAACTTGGAAGGTTCAAGGTTACGGAAAGACCAAAGAGGGGAAGGCAAGCGCAACGAAAACGAGCAAAAGCTACAGTCCCAACGGAACAAAGAATGTCGATTGTTACTGGACTATGACGAGACCAGTACGATATTTGACAAAGCGGTCTAACTACAATTCGAAGCAGCAAAGCCCACCCAACTTGGGTGGGTCATAAATATCAAAGATAAGTAAAGAAATGGGAAGCTTTGCGAAAACGAATTGTACAAGCCGAAAGCCAAACTCCTACAGTACTCCTCATGCATGACATTGTGATGGACTAGTTGACTACAAAACAAGTTGTTTCACAAACTAGAAAAAAATGCTTTGGAAAGAAAAATTTAATGGAAACGAGGGTTTCACATCATTCTTGTCATCTTGAGCTGGGCAACTCCTTGCAGTGAGTCAAGCCACAGAACTGGCTGCATGCACACATCTCACTGTGATGCTGATATACACACGTCGTGTGACGTACGTTTCGCCGTATGGTTCGTGACGGCTCATCAGGTGTACGTGTGCAATTTGAAACTCGGATGTTGAGCCATAAATAAATGTAGAAAGGAAAAAGACATTATGGATACGAGTAACTCTCCATCACTGTAACATGATACTTTATACTGTCAGAAAGTGCAATAACTAGGCACAAAACTGACAGAGTACTGAGACATTCGACGTCCTGACACCTAGCTTTAACACATCTCCGTAGCGCTAACCGACCGAGAGTACCGAATATATTTCTATACCGCAAGTAAGTAAATAATTCTCACCTTCCTTGACCGCAACTACGTTAGTTTCACACTTCGCTACGCCTTGCCGGTAAGGCTTGGTTTACAGTCCTTACGGTAGTACCGTAATGTTCCGCTCTCTCCTCTTCATTGTTATGTTACTCGTTCTGCTTTGTGGTGGTGCAGCTTTGAATTTTTGTTTGTGGTGGGGTTTGAGCTACCGTGCCGAGTCGCGTTGGGTGTGCTTCCGACGGGGCGACGAAAAACAACGCTAGCAACTCGGACGCGCGGTATCATCGCGCCGTTGTCCCCGGAGAAAAGCTACAGCACCAACCACTGACAGGTAACGTGCGGGTAATTACGTAAGCCTTTAAAAGTCCCCATATATGGGCTTCATCCTCACAAAAGTAACTTAGTTTAATACACAAAACCCATCCATGGAATACCCTCAAAATATACATGCATGCATGCAACTCCCCCCCCCCCCACACAGCTTTCCTGCCAAAGAAACTGACCACTACACACCAATACCTGTTGTAAGTTGTAACTTTCTTGTCGGCATCGCTGCCCACCACTCCAACACCATCCAACCTCTGAAAGGCGCAAAAGATGAGCTCATCATTGAAGCGATAGGAAGAGGTGAATTGTGAAAATGCTGAGGGTTTTAGCGTGAAGAGGTTCACAGCGAGAAAGTCGAAAGGTGTACTTGAAGTGCCTATGGAATCGTGTCTGCTAAAACTGCTAGTCTATAATAATCATAAGCATCGGTATTTGTGAGTTTCCAAAATTAGTACGTAAGAAAATTCTGTCTAGAAAAAACAGTGTAGACGTGTGGCGGTCGTGTGAATGCCTCACACTGAACTGAACTTCCCGGTGCGACATAAGCGGTGGGCAGACCCGCTCGCATGCACGCACGCGCGCGCGCGCACACACACACACACACACACACACACGTGTGCGCGTACAAGGCTACCATCGTTCAAGCCGCCGGGAGGCAAAACCGGTGGCGAGCACACGCACCCACTGTTTTGCGATTGCATAGAACAGCTTGGCCATTACATCATGCAGGAGTAGGTTTCTGGGGGGGCTGAGTACTGAGCTGAGTGAGCTGGTCAATTGCGCGTCAAAAAGAACGAAGATGCAGAAAATAAGCCATCAAAGTAGCAAGCAACACAACACTGATTTAGCCAATGGTTGCCCTGAAACAAGCACACACACACACAAACTGGCATGTTTTTGTTCAATGAGCCCTTTCATTTCGGGGGCATACGCAATTTCAAAGAGTGCTCTTGAATGTAAGTAACACACACTCTCATACATACACACGCACACACACACACACACACACACACACACACACACACACACACACACACACACGCGCACACACACATACACGCACACACACGCTCTCTCTCGTCTCTCTCTCTGATAAAATCCAGGCAGAGCGAAGAGAAAACAGCGGCAGCGTGTTATATCTCACTACCGCAGCTTCCACATAAGCTCGGCTGCGCTGCCAGGCTTCAGCTTGATGGTGGCAGACTGGGCAGCCTGGACCACCTCCTTGACGGACTTCATCAGGTTACGTGCGTTCAGCACAAGGGTCTCGCTGGCCTCGCGATCCGACCGGGCATCTGCGTACACACACACACACACAATTGCACAGACAGACAGCCTCAGGCACTGCTTACGTGGCTCAGACAAACAAAAGGATGTGGGATAATGGAGGGGGGGGGGGGTGCAACAAGGGCAACGTTTCTTCAGATAACGAGAATAACTGGTCGTTAAAACTTTAGACTTTCCGGTTCTACAGTAGTTGTTTACTATCAATGGCCTATAGCGAGGGTCCCTGGTTCGAGTCCTGGCATTAACAGCCACCTTTAATCCAGACCTTGACTTAGCTAACTCCTCCAAATTTATGAATGAATAATTTAGGGTTAACCCTTTGTTGGCTGGCCTATACATTGATCGAACACCGATGTTCGATGGGGTAGGCATTTTGAAATTATCGTAACTTGGTCAAATCTCGGTCTTTAGGAGAGATCGAAATATGTATGTCAAAGAGAAAACTCTCAGCTGTCGCCTCGAATAATTTTCAAAGCGATACAAAGAGCGGTTCTTGAGTTATAGCACTCGTAATTTTGGTCCCGGGAAATTTGCGCTCAGAGCGCGATGCGTGGGTCAACGGCCGGGGTTTTCCCTGCTTACGTCACTTGTTGACAAGACTACACCGGTTCAACTTCAAAAGCAGGTTCCCGGGAGTCTCTACGAAAAATTTGAGTTTGATACGAGCAACAGGAATGAAATGGTGGATAGAGATAGATCTCGAGCGTGGGCCCAGCGCCGGTAGGCCTTCCCTGGCTTGCAGCGCTGGGCCAGTGCATCCCATGGAGTCGAGTGTGTGCTCATTGCGCTCCTCTCGCCAAGGCCTTTCCAGGATGCCCAAGATCGTGGAATTTGACCAATGCAAACTAAAGTTACGTCCAGGTTTGTAGATTGCGTGGGCTTGTTTGTATTTTAATCGGCCACTAAAGGGTTAAGAGTCCTGGTGGTGACAGTCAATATTTTTCTTCAGACTTTTCCCGTTTGCGTCTTTCCCTCAAACCAGTGAACAATTCAAGGAGTCGAAGAAAGAGAGAAGTTAGCACACACACATAATAGACAGTGCTGCTGAAAGAAGTGAGTTCGTTCCGATGAACGAGTAAGCTCCCCCACACCAGTCCACAGGCCAGTGCTGTCGGGCCTGGGCTTGCAAGGGACCTCGCCCATGCTCGACTTGCACGATTGGGTTTCATTTCATAAATACAATAACAATAATATTCGCGGGATCCGCGTCGGCATCGCTTGAATGTTCAGAAACACACAAACTAGCCTTCGCATTCATTCACCGTCCAATGTCAACAGCCAATATAGGAAGGGGGCATCACAGGGGTGAAGCAGTCGGGCCGGCTTTGGCAGGACCACTTTTTCACAATGACAAAACTGCACAGAATGCAGGAATTTGAACCCTAATTTCAAAAACGTCCCGGGGGACACCCCCTCCGGCCGGACCACCTTCAACAGTGGTGCTACGCGCCTGCTCAAGGCACACAGAAAAGCCTTTTTTTCCCTGGGGGAGACCCCCACCTGACCCAGACAAGCCTTTTTTTCCCCGGGGGAGACCCCACCTGACCCGACCCCTCCCCCCCCCCCCCCCTCCAGCCGGACCACCTCCAACGGCAGTGCTACGCGCCTGCTCAAGGCACACAGACAAGCCTATTTGCGGTGCTACGCGCCTGCATTAGCCACCCATGCGAACAAAAAGAACGAAAAGAAGAAAGAATATATAGGGAGAGAGTAACGCATCAATTATTATTTTTATTCTTTTATTCGACGGGTTCGCGTACCGGGCAGGTCAAGAACAAAGAGTCGTGCAACTCCCTGGTCAAGAACCACCTTTCCGCTTCCGTGCGACGCCACCACCCCATGATCAGGCGTCAGATGCGGCTCCTAAACAATGGGGGAGGATAGATCAACGCATCAATGGAGTCATAGTATTTACAGGAACATTCATTGTTGTTACTGTAAGTGAATATACCTCTACTGCCACTCTGAGCTGCTTTGACGGTGGAGATGATCCTCAGCTGGGTGCTGATGGTGGGTAGGCGGTCTATCAACTGCAACAGCGTCTGGAGAAGGAGAGAGAGAGAGAGAGAGAACGGGAGAGAGAGTGTGAGAGAGAGAGAGAGAGAGAGAACGGGAGAGAGAGAGAGAGAGAGAGAGAGAGAGAGAGAGAGAACGGGAGAGAGAGAGAGAGAACGGGAGAGAGAGAGTGTGTGTGTGTGAGAGAGAGAGAGAGAGAGAGAGAGAGAGAACGGGAGAGAGAGAGAGTGTGTGAGAGAGAGAGAGAACGGGAGAGAGACAGAGAGACAAAGAGAAAGAGACAGAAAGAGAGTTTTTTTCCGAAATTTGGAACCCAAATCAGTGCATTCTATTAGTTCGCAGGGAAGCTGGGGAAAAATGCTACGGTCAATACCCTAGTGACCGTAGCGTGTCCGTCGCCCCTGAGCTATCCCAAGCATGAAGGTTGTTATCTACTAAAAGCAATATGCCGTACCTGCTTCAAGCGACGGTCCGTGCAGGCATCTGCAGTTGCCTTCGCCAGACGAATGATGTCGTTGGTACTCTTGGCAATAGCCTTGGCCAGGTTGATGAGCTCCTTACGCGACTGCGGGTCTCCAGATGAGCTGCACCAAGAACAAACGTGCAGACATGCAGGCACACGCACATACACACAAGGACATACACATCAGCAAACATGAACACATAGGAAACACGCACACAAGTGCATGCACACATGTGCAAGTACGCACGCATGTATGCATGCGCACGTGTGCATGCACACACACACACACACACACACACACACACACACACACACACACACACACACACACACACACACACACACACACACACACACACACACACAAACACACACACATGCACGCACAGACTGCAGTATACTCCGGAGCAGTGTGTTAGCATTCATGCATGCAAGGATACAGGGCATGGTGCCACTCACTCAAAGAGACGTCCCATCTCCGCCATCTGCAGCGCCATCTGCCGTGCCATCGCAATGAGACTGTTGTCCTTGACGGACCACTTGATGGCTTCGTCTTGCAGGTCGCGGGCCGCTTCCACAATGTCAAATGCCACCGACTGGTGCTCCACGGGCAACTCGATTCTCTGCACTGCTTCTTCCTCAACTACACATTGGCAACATCACACACACAGACCAGCAGCAGCAGTAGGCAGTGAGTAGTAGATCACATAGTGTGTAGTGAGTGGGAGGTCACATGACCTACGGTGAGTGGGAGGTCACATGACATGCAATGGAGTGGTAGATCACATGGCATAATAGTGAGTGGGAGGTCACATGACATGCAATGGAGTGGTAGATCACGTGACATGTATAGCGAGTGGCAGGTCACATGACAAATGCAGTGGAGTGGTGGACATGTGGTGAGTGGGAGGGCACATGGCATACAGTGAGAGAACACATGGCATGCAATGGAGTGGTAGATGAAATGACATGCGGTGAGTGGTAGGTCACATGACATGCTTTGGAGGCACAGGGGTGTTATGGAATCACAGCCATTCTGTTCCCCGGGATGCAGGAGCACAAAGGACAAGTTTGATTTGTTTACATAAGTATTCGAACTAGGACATGATAGGACATGATGGAACAACAAGTCTAGACGAAGACAGTTTGGGGAATGTCATCACTCAGGAAAACAATACCGGTGCATCGTTTCATAACAGGGGGGGGGGGGGGGGGGGCAAATACTTACTGACAGGCGCCGGAGGTCTCTCGGGTGCAATGTCCAGGTCCTCCGGAGGCGGGGGGAGGTCAGGTGATGGCGGCGTCGGAGGACGGGGCGGTACGTGAAAGTCTTCGACCACCTTACGGACCTCCGTAACAGCGGCTCCCGTCTGATGACCATCACAACAGGAACGCAACAAACAATGGCGGTGCAGAAATGTTGGAAAAAAAGATTCAATAATATTATTTACCCGCAATGGTCGCAATGCCTTTTTGATGACGGAGATTGTTATTGGAAGTAGAGCAAAGTTGTATGAAGACTCCACCCAGTACAACAACACTTCTATGGATCGGGGCGACAGGATG